TACGTGAAATGGCAAAAATCAAAAGCTCTATTAATCATCATTCCATTGTCGACACCAAAATATATTAAAAAATACATATTTTAAATGCAATTAGTTAATTGAGTTTGGTCGATCCATTTATACATATTTTCTTTACATAAAATAAATTCGAAAAACTAGCATAAGTTGGAGAAGCTTCATATACAATAACAGCACATATGTTAATATGTCTCCAGAAACTTTGCAGTAAAAAAAAAAAAACTTTGCAGTAACTTATATTCATGTCTGGTTATATAATTATACGAGTAATTGAGACCAATAACCAATAAACAAATTATAACTTACTAACTAATCGATTTTTTTAATTCAATGGCTATAATTTCTCTATAGGGTTTGTAATATAGTAATATATCTGTAATTTTTTCATGTGTGTATATAATGTTTTTTATAATTCCACTTGTGTCTGACCTTGAAAAGAAGTGATTAGTCCATTTGGCAGATATGCAAGATTTTGTTCTATTGCTCGTCTCATCGAGATATTTTTTTTTTTCTTATATCGTGACAACAATTTATTGATGACCTGCTAATAGTCTATTTATTTTAGTTATTGTCGTACTTAAACAAATATTTTAGTTAAACGAATATTCTTATTGCTTAATTTGCCGTTTTTGTGGCCAATGCGAATATGCAATCATGAGCTACATTTGTGCCTCTTGTTTGCTTATTGGTATACTAGATTTTGATTTACGTCAAGCATAGATTTAAATATTAAAATATATTTTCTAATCGATTTTAATATTTAGATGTGTATTTTAATATTTATAAACGTACAAAATGATATTTATTGTGCATAAATATAATAAAATTAAATTTTTGCTAAACATATTTCAATGTCATATGTTTTGATCAATTTTGCATAAAATATTAAAACTAAAGCAAATGTTATGTATTTCAATTTATTTGAAGTGTCAAAATTGAGTTTTATTATTTGTGTAAAAAATTGATTATGCGATAAATCAAACAAATTTTAGATTTATATAAATATGTCGGACGTAACAAACAAAAAATATATATTTTCTAATAATAAAATGTAAAAATATTTGTAAGTGTAGTTATCATCTACAAATAAATAATATTGCTACAAATATAATAATAAAAAACTTTTTAATATATCAATTATGTTTTTAAAATAGATAATATATTAAGTTTAAATATTACATTTAGCTAAACTTAACTCTATAAAATATATATTAATGGGTTTATATTATAAAATTAATAAAAACATATAGAGATTTCCACCATAGCATATAGTTTTAATTAAAATATTTCCATTAGTTAATTTTAGTGACATATTCCTTAAAACCCTCATTGAATAATACATATGATTTTTTCACCAAATGCCTATTCAATTAATATATAGAGGATTAGTGGCATTTTAAAGAAAATTTTCTCCCGTATATAAAAAAATCATGAAATTTTTTTTTGAATATTTTAAAACGCATGTCAAAAAAATCTAATAGTCATTGAAAAAGAAGAAGATATTCTCACATATACTTATATTTATTAAATAAAATCTTCCATATTAATTACCACATATTCTTTGCTTCCATATTTCTTTAATAGTTATATACTTATATATTGTACATGTGATATAAATTTAGTCTAATTATTTTCTTAATAATGTTATTAAGAAATTTTAATAGTTTTCATTAAAAATTCCTTAAAACCCTCTTTAAATAACATCTAGGATTTTCACTTAGTATCTCCTTTATTAATATATAGAGGATATAGAGTGTGTATCGTAAACTTGAAATACAAGTTTTACGTCTATTAACTAAGTATTATATATTGAATGATTTTATACGAATAAAATCAAAAGTAAACTAGGTCTAACAAAAAATTATACATAACTTGGCAAACTAATTAAAGTTATGGGGATTCCTTTGAAAAACACTAGGGATTTGCACATGCTTTGGCTATATTACCCCATTATTCTTTGTCATGAGACGCAAATTCTCTAAAATCAATGTAACAAAATTATCATTAATTTAGAAACAGTCAAAATATAGTATGAAACTGTTATATAAATCAAATCCCAAAACAAAACAATATTACCCAAACCAATTGATCTCTTTTGTATTTTGTGATAGGTGTAATAAAGTTTTTGTTTGAAAATGAATCCCCAAATTTGTACACCTTCCACATTTTGATTTCACACATTGGTCAGCTCAAGCGTTCTTTTCAATAACAAGTTTATCAAATCCTACTACATCCCAAATATCTTGATCAAGCTTTTAAACTAAAAAT